TTTACAAAGGTAATTGGCATTCTTTGTTTTATGATAAGGATACACAAATGGTTTAAATCTAATTAGCCATTTGTGTATCCTTATCATAAAATTAATTAAATTTAATTAATCAAATCTACGTGTCAAAGAGATACATTACACCATTGAGCTGTACTTTGTCACAGTAGTTTCAGCTCAGTTAGAAATGGAAATTAAAGGGGACAATGTATGAAGCAGGTGTACTCGTCAAGTTAATCGAATGTTTGAGAATTGGTAAGAATTTTGAATTTCACTAAAGCAGATTTAAATCAGTACAAGTTCTAACTGAGCACTGAAGCAAAGGTAACACTGTCACTTTAAATATGGCCATTTCTAAAAGGTTCATCTGTTAGAAGGGGTGAAGATCAGGGAAGGGGTTGGGAAGGATGATCATCTTTGATAAGTTTATGTGTGTTTTATAGGGGACAGATCCCCAGCCATGACAATCGAAATATTCAAACAGAATTAAGAAAATAAAAAACTTTTAATTAAAGGTGACTTTGCTCTTCAGAGCTTGTATAACACAGGCATTTTCAATGTAAGATTTTACAAGCAAATGCAAAATATATTTAGTGCATAATTCCCAACCGTTGCTCATTCAGGAGGACAGTCACCACTTTTAAGTCCTGTCCCTCCTTGCTGTCTGTGGCCTCTGTTCCTTCTTCTGGGGATACCATAGACCAAGTCCTTAGAAAGCAGAGCGCAAGCACATCATTATATGCCTTTGTGTTTTGCAAACTGCACATCAGTATACAGCCCAAGCCAGAGAGTTTTAACAGCACTTGGAGCATGAGTAGCCCTGAGGGATGGTAGTCTTCCTGGCACTCATGAATGCCAGGCTGACAAAACCAGTTTTCAGACAGGGCACTCTCCATTTCTGCACACTGCATCGCTGGTTGGCTTATCCTGCCCCCAGCCCCAAATTCATACCACCCAATGTTAGAAGACTAAAAATTTTTTTTTAAATAAACTGCTCTTTTTTTTCTGTGAAAAAAATGCCTCTTTGCAACCTCCCTGGTGACAGAAGAACTATTCTAGCCATTAAAAAACCACATAGTTTGATGAATATGACCTAAAAGGCACAGGATTTTCTAAGTAAAAAGTCCTTCAGTTTAAGCAAGTTCGTAGAGGCAGTTGGGACAGCATCCTATAAGTTTTTGTTGAAATCAATAAAAATAAAAAAATATTGAAGAAACATTACTCAAAATATTATAATACTGATTTTCTTCTACCTCACATGCAAATGCTAACTATAAACACCGCAGTTAATAAACCATACTAAAAATCGTAATAGCTGGAGCTTGATATAACTACCACAAACAGTATGAAGTATTTGTGAATTATACTCTCGCCAGCACAAGGATTCTCGTCAGATAGCAACACACATTATGTGGTACTTGTTAATTAAATTCCCGCCAGATAGCATGAGGATTCCCGTCAATAAGCAACAAGCAGCAGTATTGGATTGCCGTATTCCCAGAATAGCCTTGCTATTACGATCAGCATCACAGAGTACACTTTGGGATTTCTATTTAAATTTACCTAAATTGCTGGAGAGTTACACCGCTATATGTATTAACAGGTTCTGCATGAAGCTCAATTCTGAGCCAACATTCTAGAAGTTAAGCAATCAGCAGGAACATTCTTTGGTTTTCATGATGACTTCCACGCTTTTAGAACACTGCCCTAGAATTGTCCTTCATTACTGAACCTTTTTATATCCTCCCCAGGGATTCCTCTTGAGTTTCCGTTCAAGTGACAACTGCAGGTGACATGTTGCAACATGTCCTCATCTAATTATAAAGAAGGGCAAAAGTCAGTCACCCCTCAGGTAAAACAGGAGTTCCACGTAAATTTCTTCTTAGAAAGTCCTGTCACTTCTCCAGGGAAGGATTAACCTCACACTTAAAATATTAAGAAATAAATTGTTCTCTTGGCTAAATCTTTCTTAGTTCAAATATTATCAGGGTTTTTGTTTGTTAGAGCTAGAATATAATGGGACATATTAGCATTTTGGGGGTGCCTTTCAACCCACCAACATGAAAAATGTAAAATAAAAAGTATTTTTATACAATAACTATATTTTAGCATATTTGGGGATGTCTTAATATCAGCCATTAATTCAAGAACCAGATAAATAGTTAGGTCAGGGGTCCCACAGTTCATTTAAAGCTGGAATGGTGAACCATCTCCAAGAGTTTTTCTATAAGAAGAATATAACTAACATTTCATTTCCACTGTACCGGTGTAGGGACTTTTTACTTTCAACCAGCTTGCAGCAAGCAATTTCCTGGTAGTCGTAGTGATTTCCATAAGAAATTTGTATTTTCTCTTAGTAAGTTCATCTGTTGGGCAAGATAACAACTTAAAATCCCTTTGGATCAGTTCATTAAATACACAGGACCAGGGTGTTATGACATGCAACCACAGGGACAAATTCTAGGACACTGCCACCATAAATGAGAGTGGGACCATTGGTGATCACAAAGTCACCAACACTCACTAGTCCAAGGTAGTTTTACTGGTTCTGATGAAATACAAATGGGGTGGTATATCAAAATGTGTTCTTCGTGGAATGACGATAACTAACACCTACATGTTTTCTGTTACTGTATTTGGTTTCCCTCTCATTGGGTCACCCACATTTGCTCCTATTTTCTTTTTTGTACTTTGAAGTACTGTTCCTTTTTATTACAATGCGTACCTACCTACCTACCGTTCTTGTCGAGTGCTTTCCTGTAGAAATGTTGTACCTATCTTAGCATGTTTTTATTCATGAGTCCTCTACCCTTTCTGTTTTTCACTACAAGGGTGTGGTATACAACCTTAATATTCATGTAAAACATTGTCCCCGGAACCCTACAGAGACTTTAGAGGAAACATCCTCTCAATCTGTCCCCTTCATACATTCAACAATATCTTCCTCCTATGTATCAATGAGCAGCATTTTAAATGTATCTGTGAGGTGAGTTTTACATAATAGAGATATATATGAGGGTAAGTATTCACTTTGTGTACATTATTTTTAAAAAGAAATGAGGTTGAAGAGCAGAAGCCATATATTCAGCAGATGATATAAAAATGACAAATGTGCAATTATCTAGAATGGCTAGAAGGCGACAAATGCACAAGATGGGAGGGAATCAAAAAAGACCAAGTAGTGACGTGAAGTCTATGAAATTTTGGAGGATAAAGTCCTGGAGAGAAACCTGTTTTACAGTGGAAATTTGAGACGTCTAGAAGGAGAACCAATGCTTTATCTCAGATACAAGGCGAGTTCAGTAGAGCTAGATAAGAGACGAGGAAACAATAGGATAAAGGTAAGTTTGAGGTGACCGCGCCACTTTAGAAGAACGCTCAAAGCACCATAACCACTGCGCTGTTTTGAAGTGTTTAACTCTATTAAGGCTTTCTTTCAAATAAATGTTGATTTGCTAAACTACTTAAAAAAAAAAAAAAAGCAGTTATTATTAATAGCAGAATTATAAATGTAACTGAATATTAATCTAACCATCAAAAAAATAAATAAAAAAAATACATTCTGGCCCTGAGTGCAAAGATCCCCCATCATGTCCAGAAGGACCTGTTAACTAAACCAGGAATTATAGACAATTGGGAAGGAAAATGCATTTAAGCTAAAATAGCCAAGTTAATAAAAACAAAAGCTGCTGAGCTGGATTTATTTTTTCATTTAGCCTACATTTTACACATTTTATTCTCAGCTCAGACCCAGATTAGTGAATAACTCTGCTATTTGTTCTCTGTTAGGGTTGAACTGGTGCAATCTGTTATTAGTGATACTTGGATTTAAAATAAATAAATTTTACAAGGTCTGATAATGAGTGTCAGAAAATTAAATCTCTACTCCACACTGCAGCATGGTTTCATGTGGAACTAATGTGTCAGCTCTTTGTTTCTGGTAGGACAGATTTTACACTTCCGGTTCTCACCAAAAGTAAGAACGCTAGTTCAGTCTAGGGTACTGGGGATAGAGGCCGCTTAGCCGTTGCCATGGTGATGGCACAAAGTGCAATAGAGAAGAGGCGGTTGTGGAGTGGCTGCGCGCGGTGGATTCTGGGATAGTGGGAGACTGCCCTGAATTGAATGAGATTTAAAGGGATGACCCAGGGTCATAGAGTCACTGAGTGACACTCATAGGCTGCTGGGATTGGGGGGCATTTTATTAGCTTCTCTGGGTATGTGAGGGGCAAACAAGCCAAGCAAAATAGCCATTTAATTGTGTTAATATGTTATAATTACAAATAAAAGCTACATTTAGCAGTAAAACAGTGATAAATTATTTTTTTATTATTTATATAGCGCCATCAGATTCCGTAGCGCTGTACAATGAATATTCACTTAGGGTGTTTGGTATATTTACATCCACTAATAAATAATATAAATAATAAAATAATAACATGTACTGGTTCATAATATTTTTACATTTGATGCAAATTGCATTGCGAAATATGCTGCGTCTGAATACGCACAGCATGGATGAGTCATATTTACAGCCAAAATTTCACATTTTGGGACAAAATAGACTTATAGCCAGAGCTGGACAGAATGATTGTTCTTCACTCTTTTTTTCAGTTTGGTGATTTTGGCTCAAATTTTGAATTCCCGACAAGAACACTTTAGAGAATAGCCCTGTTTGTGTCTTATTGCAACTATTCACCATTATTTACTATTAATATCATTATTAAACGAATGTGATTACCTATGGTTCATTGCGTTCTTGTAAATAAGTATCCTATAAGTTTTCAGATCCCCTGGCCACCAACCCTCCTTGTCAATTCCATTCAAGACATTGAGCACAATTTTGCAGTCACTGGAAGAAAAATCCCAATACCCTCAGCCAACAGATGGTTGAGTGATGAGAGTTGCAGCTAAAACTGATGGAGTGTCATTACCTTAGTTTAATAAAACAGACATATCTAATGAACCCGCACCATATTTAATAAATTCTTTCCTTTACAGGAATGGAAGACAATAATGCGCAGGAGGAGGTGTCACCATTGGCTGGGCAGTCTGTAGGTGGTTGGGGTCTTCTTCAGATCGCAGGATGCACAGGGCTTGCTGCTTACTCTGTTTGGGCCTTCATTCTGATGCCTGGCTTCAGGAGGGTGCCATTAAAATTACAGGTAAATCCCACACTCTAATTCACATGGTTTCTTGACAATCAGACTGGCATACAATATATACCAATATAATTCCTCTCTAATGCACAGGTCCCTTATATGCCAGCCAGTACCAAACAAGTGGCACATGTCATGACTTTGCTCAAAGGACGATCTGGGAAGATGGTGGACCTAGGTTCAGGGGACGGCAGAATTGTAAGGCAATAAACAAAGTCATAACTGCTACTCAAATTAACTGTCATGAAACCAAATCACTTTCCGCATGGTGTTTGTGTATGTTTTATCTTATTCTTTCACACACAAGCTTTAACTGATAATCCCTCATTCCTCTGTCCAGTGCCACTTCTAACCGCTTCAGTGATCAGTGCATGTCCAGCCAGTCCTGTGCTCAGTACCACGTCTTCTATTTATATGTGCCACATTCACTCGCTCCTGTATATTGTGATACATCCTGAGGCTTCATTAATCAATACCACCTCCTGCCAGTCCTGTGTTCCGTGCCCTGTCCTGCTGCTCCAATCAGTGCCATGTCCTCTCCTCCCTGTATCTAGTGCCACGTCCTGCTAGTTCAGTAATAAGTTCCATATCCTTTCATTACCGTATTTAGTGCCTCCTCCACCTGCTTCAGAAATCGGTGCCACGTTCTGCCACTCCAGTAAGTGGAGTTTTATTTTTTCACTGAAGATGCGAGTGCCAAGCCGTACCTCTGCAGTAATCATGCCACATGCGGCCGTCCAGTAAGTCTCTGCCATGACTTCAAGCCATGCCCTGGTGCGGAGATGTAGGTAAATTAATATAAGAATAATCTATCCTGCCCTGTATATTAATAGGTAGCATTCAGTAGTAGTAGTGGAATATTTTCTATTTTATGTAGCAGAATTAGTAGCAATATCCTTTTTGCACTTAATACAATTTAGTATTTTGGTTGGCTTTATCAGATAATTTGGAGAACACTAGAACATTCATATTTTGGTTCCACTCGTAGCAGTAAGTCCTTTGTCATGTATTAATTATTTTGCAGGTGTTGGAGGCAGCCAAGAGCGGATTTAGTCCTGCGATCGGCTACGAACTTAACCCTTGGTTAGTACGTCTCTCTTACTTCAATGCTTGGAGGGTCAGCTACCACAGAAGGGTGTCCTACCGAAGAGAAGATCTATGGAAGGTAGGTCTATGGGTATCACCTTTCTTAATAACACACCAGAATTTATAACTCTTTATTGTAAATACTGTTTTGTTTTTTATTCCATTTGTAGGTGAAATTAAATGACTGTCAAAATATCTCTTTATTTCTGGCTCCAAGCGTGGTAAGAAACTATTATTATACCTGAAGGATTATATGGTACAAGCCAATAGTATTATTATTTGTTTATATATTATCAACATAATCTGTAGTGTCATACAATAGTAAAGGGGAAGCAGTATGTTCTATGTCACTCTGGCAGAGTCCAATACTGTGTTATATTCACCATGGAATATGATAAAGGTTGCCAGATCCACCATATTTTCCTGGGCCCATATTATTAGTTCATGTTGATGTGCAGTGCATGAAAGGTGCTTCCCTGTGGTATGTAGCATTCATAGACTCAAAGATAAATAAGTTAATGATTTCTACATACTGCGGGGCAACAGTTTTCATGTACTGCCCATCAGGATGTGATGTACATGTAGAGGAAGAAAGTGTGGACCTGGCAACCCTAGAAATGGGAGAAGTCATATATTTTACATCCAGTTATTTTTTCTCAGCTCTCCCTGCTGGAGACTAAGCTTTTCTCAGAGCTTCCTGATGGTGCTCGTGTGGTGGCTGGTCGCTTTCCCCTACCAACATGGCCTCCCAGCACAGTCGTTGGAGAAGGAGTCGACAGAGCCTGGGCCTATGACATCAAAGCTGTACGTCAAGTCCAATCGCCCAAACAACATGACACTCCAGTCTGAATCTTTTTATCGGTGGAAAGACTCATGGGAAACACGCCGATCTTACAACCTCCTGTTTTATTTCATGCAGGTAGATTGTACCTTGTTACTTCAGTAAAAAAAAAAAAAAAAGGCAACTAATCAATGCAGAATTTTAGAGAGGTCACGTATATGGATTATATTTTATGTTTACCTTTTTTTTATGTATTTATTTTTTTAATCTGGTGAGTATATACATAGTATTCTCGGGTTTTCTCCAAAATAAATATTTTAACTAAGTTTTAATATATTTAAAAATAATATATAACTCCATTTTTAGATATTATATTTATACTTATGTTTAAACTCAGTCTTATATTGTTTAATGTAATATTATATAATGTGTTTGTGCCAATTGCCATAAAGCCTAATGGTTAGAGCTGGGGGGTTTTGTTTGTTTTTTCCAGTAAATTCATCAATTTGACTTATTTTACTAATTTTATTTCTCCAGCACTTATTTTTATTAACTTAAAGGAACACTATAGTCACCTAAATTACTTTAGCTAAATAAAGCGGTTTTAGTGTATAGATCATTCCCCTGCAATTTCACTGCTCAATTCACTGTCATTTAGGAGTTAAATCACTTTGTTTCTGTTTATGCAGCCCTAGCCACACCTCCCCTGGCTATGATTGACAGAGCCTGCATGAAAAAAAAACTGGTTTCACTTTCAAACAGATGTAATTTACCTTAAATAATTGTATCTCAATCTCTAAATTGAACTTTAATCACATACAGGAGGCTCTTGCAGGGTCTAGCAAGCTATAAACATAGCAGGGGATAAGAAAATCTTAATTAAACAGAACTTGCAATAAGGAAAGCCTAAATAGGGCTCTCTTTACAGGAAGTGTTTATGGAAGGCTGTGCAAGTGACATGCAGGGAGGTGTGACTAGGGTTACATAGAAACATAGAAACAAAGGGATTTAAATCCTAAATGGCAGAGGATTGAGCAGTGAGGCTGCAGGGGCATGTTCTATACACCAAAACTGCTTCATTAAGCTAAAGTTGTTCAGGTGACTATAGTGTCCCTTTAACAGCTAATTGTAGTTAACTGAAAACTGTACTGAAAATGTTGCCTACAATAGCCAATCTGTGATTATATAAGTTTGAATTTTCTTCCAAATAAGCTATTTTTCCTAATACTACATTTGCCATTTGCTAAATAAACTCCACCGAGTTCAATTTGGGTTTGAAAATGTCTTATTTTGTTAATCACATGTACGTCAGAAATAGCACCTGGGCGAGTGATGTGTTGGTCATTATCAACAATATTTTTTTTTTTTTTTGTAAATCTTTTTTATTGAGGAAAAAGAGTTAGGCTCGCAGGCCTCGGTGGATAGCATTAATAATTGTTATAACATATGTCAGTCTTCAAAACAATATATTGGGAGTTTCCCAAAACTTCAAGGTAGTTACATTCCATTCTCAATTTAAGGCTTAATCAGCGTACATGTTATTTGCATACATACAATAAAAGAGAACCCATTTTAGTACTTGCTTGCAGGATAGTATTTAGTGTGTTTGTGTGGGGCATGTTCCTCCTTTGATGCTCTAACCTCTAGATATAGGCGAGCAAATATTGCTTTCATTCGTCAGGTTAGTGACTTATATCCCTGAGAGACATACGGGAGTAACAAAAAATATATATAACGTGTTATAAGGTGAAAGAGAAGAGGGTTAAGGGATGATGTGTATGTGTGAGGATAGTTCTCCCCGGTGTCCACACTCCCCCCCCCACCCGCAACGGGTCCTGAGCTTGGGCGTGATGGTCAGGTTTTTGTCAGGTCCTGTCCTAGCGGCTTGCTGTGGTACATTGGTCATGTATTGTGAACCTATGTTGTGTTATTGTCTCAGTGGATTCATCTAGTGGTCGACTCTATACTGTGTGTTGGGTCCGTCCCTTCAGGCTCCATCTCCTACATTGCACAGCCGTGTGATGTGTCTTATATGCTGTAGTTCAGTCTATCATGTGCGTCGATTGGTCGTGTGTGTGTCGGTAGGTATTTCATGATATCACAGTATCGGTTTTCTAGCGTGCGCGAGCATAAGTTCGGGTCAATAAGGGATCGTATGTTACTACGGACCATAACCCCTCCCAAGATGAATTATCCGGCACCTGAGGGTGAGTTCGGCCAACAGAGGTGACCAGTCCCAGCCTGTCCGCCCCGCTCCCCCGCCCCCACATGGACCCTTTATCTGTCCGCCTGGTACGAGAACCAGGGTTGCCATGTCTCCGCGTGCTTTGTCGAGCGTCCCGCCAGAGATGCCCGCACCGCCTCGGCCGCCTGGATGTCCTTGACCCTATGGATCCATTCTTCTATCGTGGGAACGGTTGCCTTCTTCCAATATACTGGGATTAAGGATTTGGCAGCATTTAAGAGATGGCGTAGAATTGATTTCTTGTATCTAGGGATATTTTGTGTGGTAATATGTAGTAGGGCCAATTCTCGGGACCATTCCGTGTCATCCCCCAAGATCTCCTTTATTGTGGCGTGGATATGGTCCCAATAGTGTGCGATGGTATGGCATTCCCACCATAAATGTACTATGGTACCTCTCGCGTCTTGACATCTCCAGCAGAGTGGGGACGCCTCTGGATAGATTTTCTGTATGGCTACCGGGGTTTTATACCACATGGAGATCAGTTTATAATTGACCTCCTGATAGTAGGAGCTTGAGGAGCTTTTGTGCTGCCAGAGGAGTTCTGTCCCCCATTGCGTTGGTGTAATGGCAATATCTAGTTGTGTTTCCCATCGTCTTTGAAATGTATTGTTATCCGAAGAGGCCCCAATCAGTAGATGTTGATAGAGCATCGATATCGCGTTCTCGAGTTTAGAACCTCTGCGGCATATGCTTTCGAACCATGTAAGGTCTCTGTGTAGGAGGTCCTTGTGGGGTAAGGATTCGTAGTAATGCGATAGTTGTAGATAATGGAGGGTCAGGAGGGGGGTCTGCGGTCTTCCAGCTAATAGTGAGCTGAGGGACCTTATCCGACCTTCCTCCAGGATCGTGCATATTGGGATATATTCTCTTTCCCCTAAAAAGGCCCAGGTCCTAAAGGGGAGTCCTCCCCCTATATTGGGGTTGTGTGTGATTGAGATCATAGGACTGGGGGTCGGAGAGACCTGTTCCATCTTCCTAATTGATTTCCAGATCTTCAGAGTCTGTGCCACCGGATTGCCGTCCTCTTCTGATCCACACCGACCTTTCGCCTCCCTCCATACGTCTGCTTTAAGTTTGGTCCCCGAGTCTTCTCTGTCCAGAGTTACCCACTGTTTCGGGTCCTCTGCTGCGTGCCACTCCAGGATACGTTGCATAGTAGTGGCTTGTTGGTACTTTTTGAAGTCCGGCAGTGCAAGGCCTCCTCTGATCCTGGGTAGGCAGAGCGTTTCATATCGAAGGCGGGATCTTTCCCCTCTCCAAACATATCGGATGACCGCCGATTTCAGGCTAGAGAAGAACGTTGTAGGTAGCGATATTGGGATGGTTTGGAATAAGTATAATATCCGTGGTAGCACGTTCATCTTGAGGACCGCTATCCTGCCGTGCCAGGTGATGTGTGGATATGCCCATCGATCTAGGTCCGAAGTTACTTGTCGTAGTATGGTGGCAAAATTGTGTTGGTACAGGTCGCGTGGGTTGTGTGTTACCCAGATGCCGAGATATTTCATCTTCCCCTCACATCTGCGAAATGGGAAAGCTGCGCTCAGTGTGGCAAATTCGGTTGGTGGGAAGGTGACGTTAAGGATCTCACATTTAGATAAATTAAGTTTGAATCCTGCGATTTTGCCGAAGTTTTCAAATTCCCGGAGCAAGCATGGCAGTGTGATTCGTGGATTAGAGACGAAAAAGAGGAGATCGTCCGCATATGCGGCCACTTTGTGTTCCGTCCCTTTCCATGAATAGCCCTGGATGTCAGGGTTCTGTCGTATTGCCTGTAGGAGCGGTTCCAGAGACATTGCGAATAAAAGGGGGGATAGGGGGCACCCCTGCCTGGTCCCGTTATGAATCTCAAAGCTGGTCGTAAGTGCTCCATTTACCTTAACCGCTGCGCTGGGTTTATCGTATAATGCCGATATCCACGACATCATCTTCGGTCCCATTCCCATGGCCCTCAATGTCTGCATCATGTAAGACCAGTTGACCCGATCGAAGGCCTTTTCAGCATCCGTGGATAGCAGTATAAGGCGTTCTCGTGAAATCCGTGCTCGATGTTGTATGGAGAAGAGGCGGAGTGTGCTGTCTCGGGCTTCTCTACCAGGTATAAACCCCGTCTGATCCGCATGGACTATGCTCGGTAGTACTCGTTGTATTCTGGTGGCCAACACTTTCGTAAGAAGTTTTGAGTCCACGTTTATTAAGGAAATTGGCCGGTAACTGCTGCAGTGTTCGGGATCTTTCCCGGGTTTGAGCAGGACTGCTATAGTAGCTGCCAGCGATTCTGTGCCGAATCGTCCCCCTTCTGTAATGTTATTAAATGCCTTAGTTAGCCAAGGTAAGAGGATCGAGGAGAAATGTTTGTAATATCCCGCAGAGTATCCATCCGGGCCTGGTGCCTTGCCCACCTTCGTGGCCTTCAGGGCCGCAGCCACGTCTTCGACACTAATTTGTTCGTCTAACATATCTGTCGCGTCTATGTTTGCTCGTCTGCTTACATTATCCCGGAGGAAGGCCTGGATTGATGCGGGCACGGTGTGTCCTTGCGATGATTCCGTCGGCGTAGGAAGGTTATACAAGGTGTGATAGTATCGGCGGAATTCATTTGCGATGTCTTCAGGGAATGAGGACGTGGATCCCGATGGGAGGCGTATTTTGTGCACCCTCGTGCGGGGGGTGTCGCCCCTCAGGAGGCTTGCCAGAAACTTGCCGCCCTTGTTGGCGTGAGTGTAGAAGAAATTTTTCGAATATTGCAAAGAGCGATGATATTTCCGTGTGATCATTATCAACAATATTAAAATATTTATGTAGAGCAGATCTGTCATATTTACAATTCTCCTAATTCAAGATTGCAGTGTCGTCGTTCCTGTTCCCTCACCCCTGTTTTAAATTGTGTCTCATTTTCATGTTATTGAAAATAATGTGATCTCCACTCATCTATTTTACCTAATGAGCTGCTCTCCCTTCAGTCTTTTTCATTATAGATTTTTTTTGCTTTTTCTGTAATAAAAACTTTATTGTGGTCAGTGAACACTAATGTTAACAGTGGTTTTTGTTTTTTTTTGAGAAAAAGGAAGATTACTTAATTGTCAATGTAAATGAGTCTTACATCGCTTGCAGAAATAAAAAACAAAACACAGATTAACCTATCTGAACACAACCATAATCTCAAAACCAGATACATTAGAAAGAGGGGGAAACGATATAGAAAAAAATATGACGTTTATTATAAAAAAAAAAGTGTTTAAAATTGTGAGTTGCTGGAAATTGAAATTAAATTTCTCATTTTAGACCACAGAAAAATAACATATTTGATTAGAATATTTTTTACTTTGGCTATCTTAGCCTAACATTTGAAATGCAACCCCAATTAACTTTTTAATTTACATTAAACCTGAAATACGTGACAATTCACAACTTTTATCTGTTCTACAAATTATGAAATGTGCTTTGAAATTGTTAAAGAAATGTACATTTGCACACTTAAATATTAAAGACCCTATTTTGTGCAATAGAAGCATTTCAGTCAGGACAAATAATCTCAGGTATAAAATAAGCCCGTATTTACACAGTATGTAATTTCCTGTTTAAAAAAATGCTGTAAAATAAGTTGTTTTTGTTTGATGTGCACAGTAACTTTTTTGTTGGTAAATGATACGAGGCTGGACTGTTAATTAAAGGAGGAAGTGAGAATATCTCAGCTGTCAATCTGTGTTAGCCACATGTTAAAGCTATAGTATCAGTCCTTTTATAAAGGTAGCCGGTCCACTCTGCAGTACCAGTTTCAACCAGCAGAGGTCAAGCTCACATTTCATGGCTGTTTCTCTTTGTAGTTCGCAGTAGCAGTGAATGAGAATTGTCAGCGCTGAAAGCTCTTGGGCCCTCGTTACCCAGCAGTTTCCGCAGACGCATTATCTCTTGTTTGTACCTGTTGGGAAAAGAGATGATTTTGAAAACTCCCACTATGCTAAGCCAAACTATTTGCAAAAGCAGAATATAGTGTAGTTCTGCAAAAAATCGCCCTGTTCTCCCACTGAAAATTGAGATATAATATCTTCCATTTATTGTCATCTATTTTTTTTATAGAAAGCTAACCTAGTCCGCAGCTAAACAAAAAACGTGTGTTGACTGGCTCTCCTAGTGGTCAGTTCCACTTACCTTCCAAGGTGTTTGTCTACATACTCCTGTAGCTCAGCCACCTGCTCTTCTGCTACCACTGCTCGGGACAGTAGCTGACTCCTCTCCCTCTCCAGATCCTCCTTTTGGGAAAAAAGGCAACATTTTTAACATAAGTTACTTCATATTTCATTTTTACCAGAGAGAACCAGGTCTGACAATACGTCACCTGGGGGTACAGTATAATGCACTGTCTCTGGTAATGAAAGTGTTAATGACTATCTACCCTTTATATTCTCCCCCACTGACACTGATGGTGTTAAGCTGCTCTGTAAGCTATGCACAAGTCAAAAATGTTTGGTGGAGCAAGCCCTGTGATAACGTGACAAACCAAACCCCTCGTGTGTTTGGGAGCGTAAACAAAAATGAATTACAATAAATGCTATCTTAAACTATCACCTGAAATATTATTTAAATAAATCAATTTATAATTATACTAACAGTAGATAAATCCTATTTTCATGTAACCAAGCTACAGTGGAGAATTGAAAAGGGGATTGCACATTTTACCATAGTAGTTAGATTGGAAATATCTCAACAATGATTGTACTCATCAGCTACACACCATTCTCAGTTTAGGGAATAACTCATTCTCGTTCAGTGACTGCACCACGTCATCTAATTTTAACCATCAGATGTATCCTCTATGCTTAATAACTGTGACTTAGATTAAACGTGGATCTAGTTAGACATCCCTTCTCTTACACATTAAATGATGAATGGAGGGATGCTTGTAAAGACTACACAATTTAGGGCTGAATACAGCTTTTGTCCATTTACTCATTGAAAACTCGGAATATGTATTTAATAAAATACTTGTTAATGCAATGATTTTTGTCCTAGACTAGACACAAATAAATTTAGCTGGGACAAATAATTAAAATGCCTTTAAGTCTGTGCCCAAACGAATCAATCCGATTCGATTAAAAAGATTCCACAGGTAAACCCATACGGTTTGTTTCGTTTGTTGCAGCTGAGACTCATTTGCGGACAAGTCTACTTTGTACCTGAAACAGTCAAAAGTCAGGAGAGATCTGTACACACCTGAGTATTGTGAGTGAATTCACGCAGCTGTTTCCTGATCTCGGCCCAGCTCTCTTCATTAAGCTGGCCGGGGCTAGGTAGAAAAAAAAACAGAAATATGAACTATATTATCATCTCTCACAATCACGGTACTGCCATTCATAACTGTAAAGTATTTCAGATCCCTGGTAAATACATTCTACACAAGCACAGGCTGACAGCAATCTGGGACTCATGGAAATCAGGCAGCAAGCTATTCAATCATGGCCAGATATGACCATTTATCAGCATGGATTCCATCCAGAGAAGGGCTAGGAGGAAATGTCTGATATCCGCAGGGGTCACTTTTCCCATTGATTGTATTTCTTTATAAAATACTATTACTTAGAGTGTGTGGTTACATCATCTTAGCTATGATACCTGCACCTACTATCCAAAATGGGTCAGTGTTGGTTTTTGTGTTTTATATTTGTTCGACAATAAAGTTTTCCTCCTAATTTCTCATTTCTATGTATGTGCTACTTTTTCCCTAATATTTTCTATTTTTAAGTTATTCTGTAAAAATAAAGACTGGTTTATCTTGCAATAAAATTCACATTTGTTGCTAATACTGTGAAACTCGACTAATGGTAGAAGTTATTCTGAGATCAACCTACAGTCGAGGTGAACGTAATGATTTGCAAGGTGAAGGACATGTTCTTGAGTTCTAGAAGAATACTAACATTCTATCTAAACCTTAGACTTAACCCCTTAAGGACCAAACTTTGGAATAAAAGGGAATCATGACATGTCACACATGTCCTGTGTCCTTAAGGGGTTAAGAAACAAAATCCATAAGGTAAAAGACTACATACATTTACATGATAATAATTTAAAAGCAGGGCACATTACTTAAAAAAAAAAATAATAATTTAGAATTAAGAGGAAAAAAAACACAAATGATAGATCATAGTAAAGATATATAGTTATAGTTTGCACAATATGATCATTGAGTGACTAAATCTTTTTCTAACTGTTTTAGAATTTTGATACTTACTGTTTAGATGTGAGTGTACTTTCATTCAAACTTTTCTGCACAAATTCGAGATAGAGATTAGATTTAGAGACACGTAGTTTGAAAGCAAAATCAACATGACATTTAAATGATCAAGTTTAGAACATAGAGCCTCTAAGTTTTACAAATAACTTATTTGTATTTATTTTGCAGAAACCCCAGTTTCTATATTTTGTTATTCACAAAAAGCATCACTCGCTTTTTAAGTTACAAGCTGCTTCCTTCCTTAGCTCAGATTACAACTGGTGGATGAGAGACACTGTTTCGTTCTAAACCAATTATAGGACATGGTGATAATAGACTTGCGCATGTGGTCTTTACAGCTGGTCATTACTAGTGATCTAGGCGGAACAAATCGATCCATTCAGGATTTAGCTATGGAGTCTCGTTCAATGAATAAGCCTCTACAGGTAAATCCCAGAGGGATTGATTTGTTTGAGTTTAGAGTAAAATGAAATTGATTTGTTTGTACCAGTTAAAACAATTTACAAGTTACTAATATGATTTTTCCAGGAATTCCCTTTCAGTAGCTCAGACCTTCTCTTTTAGCTCCTGGATTTTTGCCTCCAGTCTAGCCTTGTCCTCACGCAGTCGGTTGAGCTCTAAAGATGACTGAGATAGTAGCTCCGGGTCGGTGATGGAGAAGTGATGTTCAGGAGGTCCTGGATCAACATCATGGTTTGCCAGACTCAGGATCTGCTCTCGTTGCATGCTGAGAAAGCAAATTACATTTTCATCAATACAGGGTGAGATTTCTACGAATAGCACTCTAACAATCATTCATGAAACCTTTCAGGGCATTTTTATGACTTTGTGGCTGAAGACATGTCACAGTTAAGCTTTTTAGGCTTTGGCATCATATGAGTTTCTCACCGATATGCAATAAGCAGGCTTTCGTGTTTCTTCACTAGGTTCTGCATACGTTTCTTGTACTGGCGTGCTGCCGTAGCAAGCTGCTCTTCTCTGGAACGGTGAGAGGTTTTGATATCACTAAACATACTGTCGACATACTGCTTCATTCGCACTGGGTCCACTTGGGGTCTGTTGGACCCTCCTGCCCTCAATGTCCCATCCACATAATCCTACAAGGAAAGCAAGTTTAATAACTCACAGAAGAGGAGCCATCACTGAAGTCATCTGTGGACTGAGATGTACAACCAAACCAAAAGAAAGAAGTTCATTAACAGACAGGTACCCCATAAAACCAGATGTCTGGCATGCGGGTAATTGGCCATTTCCACTTACCGCAAGATCCTGGATATATCGGTTGAGCCGGGAGCGATATTCCTCGTTTAGTTCTTTTAGATTTAGTTGCAGACGGGAATTCTCTGCTTCAACTTCTTTTAACTGGCTTTGCGATGTCAGAAGAACCTAAAAGAATTGTACCACGTGGTCAAGTCCAGATGTGTTCATAGTCTTGGTGAGGAGGACCTATCTGTAGAATTTAGAAAGCACCCAAAATCAGGAATTTGGGGCTCACTGAGTTCTTCTACTGGTGTGATTTCTATTGGGCTCTGCTGCTAAGTCACTTAAAGCGCCACTTTCACCATCTGGGGATAAATTGCAAAGACCCCCAACTGTGACATCACCACTGGTGGTCCGGTTGCCGGGGGGAAGGGGGCAAGGAAAGGTGAGATTTACTTACTTCAACCTGTCCTCAAAGGCGCCATCTTCTTCCAGCCGGTCCATTTCTGCTCCTTATGTTTCACCGCCAGGAGTTAATGCCACAGCACTGAGGTCTATGGAGGGTCCTGCAAGACACTCCATAGATACAGCTAATATCACAGCTGGGATATTGACACTTCTAGACAGCGGTAGCTCCACCCAGTGTCTCTAAGTGTCAGGTGTAGGAAATAAATTGAGACATAGTAGTCAATACTTTGTCTCAGTATTTCTTTTGACTGGGTTAGGATTTCAGTGACATGTCAGGCTTGGAATGTCAGTATAAGTATTTCAGAAATATTTTATCTTTATGAATGACTAATTTTGCAGGCTAGGGAGAGAGTGCGCTTTATGATTATCTAGTAATATATCAGAAAGGCTGATTGGTGGACAAGGGATCACACTTACCGCCGATTGCTCAGCAATCTTGTGCTGGGTGTTGCGAATGGCTCTTTTTGCCTCCTGGAGCTCTTTACCCATTGCGACCCTGTGGATAGTCCATCGTTATCACAAATATACTGCAGATACTCAGTTCATATCCGTGCACAGAGCTACTTTTACAACTCATAATGTGAGGTATGTAGGTTCTATCCAATAAAGAGTTATTATGGGGTAAAGTGCTAGAAGAAGAGAAGTCACTATTGCAAACTGAATTGTTCCGTCTGAAATTCTCCACTTTCAGAATTTTGAAATGAGATTTACTATCGTGGCTCACAGCTTCTCCTCCTATTTTCTTCTCTTTACATTTAAACATTTACGCCTGCTGTAGTGGTTATGATGCCAAGACTAACTTGACATTCTTCCCCAGTAATGGGGCAAACTGTTTTGCAACAGTTTGCCTCTTACTTCGGTCATGCCGAGTGCCAAGGGTCCCTGGATGACAGCTGAACCTCGTCTGGCTTCTGCAGAAGCCGGATGCAAATCCTGATGCTTCTTCATTGGAGTCAGCTGAGAGATCTTGGTCAATGAATAGGCATCTGTGCAAAGAATATGCACCAAATTTTAATTATCCAGCTTAGAACTCTCATTGCACCATGACCACTTCAAAACATGGTGCTTGGAGTAGCGTTTTATGGCAAATGGATGCTATTTTAGTAATTTTACTAATAAACCATCAGCAGATTATATCACTATAAATAGCTAAAGTTGAAAGATTAAAAGCATTTTTAATTTTAGAGGTCAGTAAAAGGACACGATTTCCACTTTAATTCACAGACCTGTGTCCTTTTGAGGCTATGGTCAACTTGGAAATATGAAATAAAAACAGTATCAGCGCTTAGTTAATATACCCCTATTTTTTGTATATGGGTCAACAACAAAAATATATTGAATAAATTAAATAAAGAGTCCCAGTTTCAATCTTCATGGGGTGTTTTCAAATGTCCGCAGGGATTTGATAGTTGTAACAGTAATTGATGTAAAAAGACTTTGTCTTTATATGTATCCAACCTTTAATCAAAAAGATACTAACATAGCGTGATACAGTTACAATACTTTATTTCCCATACGGTAATCCTCCCATAAGAGGAACTCTTACAATTAAAAGTGGTGAAACTTATTTCTAAGGTTCACAATAAAAGCGTAGAAATGCAGAATATTGGTTGGTGAATATAAAGTTACCGCTCCGTGGGTGTTAATTCCAGACCGGTCCTGTGCACTCGGATCGATCCTCACTGAGACGCCAACTAACCAGTCTTACTGCAGTCTCTCCAAATTCAAAAATCCCGCCAGAAACACGATACTGTTTTTATTTCAATTTATGTCGCACATGGTGTTTTAAAACTTGGGAAGGTTTTTAGTGTATCTGGCAGCTTTGTATTAACTTTTTCTTGTGGATAATCATAATTTGAAGCACCTGCTTAGAAAATCCACTATTTTACTGATATTCTTTTGCGCTCTCTATAAACCTGTTTTTTTCAACTTGGAAATATGTTGTGGTTTTTTGGTCTCTAAACTGGGAATTTTGAAGAAGTTGCCAGATAATTGCAGATTTTAGACAAAACATCCAAATTGGAATAAAATAACAGTGTTAGAAAATGTTTCCGATTTGTATAGAACTTTCAATTCTCAGGTAAATTCTCCCCAATTTCCAGTTTAGTAAGTAAAACCTATATGTTTTTGTTTCTTTTTTTAAGTGACCTTATTACATCACGAAAACCTTCCTTTACCGTATTAATCAGCACCCAGCATACATACACTCTCTTTAAAACATGCTAATGACAGTATTTTTTTGTGCAAAGAGCTTACACTCGCTCTTCCAGTTTCTGCTGTTGAGTGTCGTGGATCTTTTTCATACTCTCGATCTCCTCTCTGATGTGATCTTGGTTCCCGAGAAGCTACAATGACACAAATCGACACTGTTGTGTTTTGAATCTCTTATTGAAGAACAAACATAAGCAATGCCTTTCTCATGAGATGTTACAGCAATATATTCTATTAGTATTTAACATAATAAGTAGGGGATGTTCTGTGACTACCAGCAGGAGATGGAATTTGACTCTGCATTAGTGATATGTGGCGAATAACATGCAGTTCTGTAATGGGAATGGCATGATGACTGTGTACCTGAGAAAACCTGTGCATGTGGTTTCCTTGATTTTAAATTGAAATTTAGTTAAAAAAATACATTCATGACCCCTAAAGCACTTTGGCTTGCTGAAAAGCTTTATGTGTGAATAGTGTGTCCTATTTTTTTATTTTGAAAAAAAGTGGAGATTTCCATAGCAATTGATACTTTTATAAATTAGCCTGGTTACAGATAACAGAACATGTTAATTCCTGGTTTTGTTAGATCTGTGGAGATAAACTCAGGAGGTAACAATTGCTCAGGGCACCTGCCTTGCAAAGACTTCTGAATAAGCTACATTGGGAAGTCTGTGATTGGACAGCCACAAAAAGTCTGGGCGGGGTTAGAAGGGGTGGGCTTGCAAAGGCAACAGACAAGAGAATTGCAGATTTTGCAAGCTGCTTTTAGAAATCACCCCCAGTGGAAAAATGCCTAATTATATGCATGCAAATTTTTATTTGGGTTATATCTACTAAATAGTGATTTCTATTTAGTTTTATTTAGGTAGTGGAATTTCCATTTATTAAATAACTTGATCAGGACTATTCATTACTTTTATATATATTTTTGATATTTTAACGTAAACCTATTTTAAGTCAAGGCCGTGATTAGGTAGATCTCTATTATGTATATTAGTTGTCAAATATAAAACAAATTATATGTATTTTTATTATATAAACGGTCAGTTGTTGTGTATTGACTTGTAATATTTAAGCTATATATATATATACACTTTATCCCAGTTAACTGTTTTAACCTGGATCACAATTTGCTAAAATTACAGTTTACTAAACAGATTCCTGAGTTTGCTGAATTATCCAAAAGATGACAGAACAGAGTATCTCAATATGAACACATCTCACATTTCTCTCCAATTTTCTTCTTTCATGTTCCGAAGCCACTAGCTCTTCTGGCTAAAAGATCAGGAGGAAGAAAGATTACTTGATTTCGCACAATACATATTAACAATCCCTTTGCCTCTGGCACACAGCGACATTTATTTTTTTAATGCTTAACATCATTAAATAGACAATACTTCTTAATGACAGAAATGTCTGCAGCAAGCCCTCACTATATTTAATCATTTTTATGATGTATCTTCCATTATAAAGTGAATACAGCTGCCAGTTTAATGATCTAACATTATAGACAAGCCTAAAATGCAAAAAAAAGCAATGGAATAAAATGAGTGATCGTGGGGCAGAAGTACTTGAGATATATTTAAATATGGAAACTGTACATATTTTCATATATAGTAGAAACCTGCTGCTGAGATATAAAATTCAGGTCAGAGATTTGCAGGATTCCAGAGTTCTGAGGAAACCAGGATTTGGTTAGTGAATAAGAAGCTGCTTACACAAAAAACAATGGAATATGGGGTAATTTGCTGCTGAATAGTTTAGTAATCGCAAAAAAATGAACCTTAAGTAACAATGCCACCTACCTTGATCCTGCGCGCAGAGAAACGATTAACCATGTCTCGCACTCTGTCCAGCTCTGCAGTAGCCTCATTGACCAGAGCCCGTGACTGGTTAAGGGTGTCTTCATGTCTTCGATTGTTGGCCAAGTTAAGAAGTTCTATGCTCAATTCATCGTTCTTTGCCACCTAAGTATAGGGTAATGTTGTATTGAAGGAATTAAGTATTTCTGGTGCCAGGAGGTCCTTGACTCCAGCTTACCTTGAGGGTTTAGACTGTTAACAAATGGTTTAACCTCAAAGTCTTCTGTCCAGTGTCAGTTAGATCTGCCCTCAAACTTTGGTTGCAGTCTGAGGCTTCAAACAGAAAGCCTTGGACAGAGGATCCGCTGATTGGCTTAGAGCGTTAGCGTCCCTATATGAGGCTTCCTGTTTGAAACCTTGGACTGCAACCGAAGTTCGGGGGCAGAGATAACAATTTAACCCTTTAAGGTAAGCTGGTGCCAGGAACCGAATAATCATCATCAATATAAGTTGGAAGTTTCATATTCAACACAAGTCTATTTTAGTAAAAATAATAGAACCAGGAACCTGCCCACGAGACCTCTCTATCCTTCGTAACCCAGAATGGTATCTTATAGAGATGGTCTACTCACCTCTCTTTCATGTTCTTTGCTCAGCGCTAGGTAGTTACTCTTTAAAACAATGTATTCATCAGCGAGTTCTTTGCGGTTGGTCTCCACTGAACGCAGACGTTCTTTCAATGTCTCATGTTCCCCGTTTAACTTCTCCTTGCTTAGCTCTGTGGACATCAACCTGTTCTCTAGAGTCAAGATCTGAGGAGGAGAAGTTGGAGGGTGATCAATTTTGCTATCTCCAAAGAGGTTTGTTTGAAGACTTAAAAAACCTTTTATAATACAGTACTGTGATTGTGAGATTTTTACTGAAACATCCTTAAAATGTGATGTTGCTGAGTAGAATTGTTAACTGACTTGTCATGTTATGTACCCATTTCTAAAACACATCTAAACATCAATTTGCTAATTATTACATGGTATTTTTATTAAAGCATCCATGTCCATTTTCTCTTTTATTTATTTCATTGTATATTTTATTTGATATCCCTACTATTTGGATGCTATATAAAACTGTTGGTGATTTTTTAATGCCAATGTTTGTAGTTTATTTCCAAAATGTGCTGAATATAAAATTATATAGCAATAAAAAGCATAATTTATGTTCCCATCTGGCTAAAAGTCACAGAAAACACATTGCACAACAATCAGGGTGCGAAAGGCTGACTATGACTTCTCTATGTCTTCATATTTCACAGGATGAACAATTGTAAATTTTTAAATGATTTTGTGGTGTTTAGTGTCACAGTTTAACGATGGGAAGGAGTGAACAAGGTAACCCATCTAGGATTCCATATCCAATCAGTTCTCGGCATCGCTACTACGTGTGTCGGGTGGTGTGAACCAACCAGTGACTTCTCTTTCCATACCGTGTTCTTCAGTTCAAACGTCTCCGCCTCATAGTGTTCTCTGATGTTGTTTGTCTCAATCTGAAGCTCAATTAGTTCTTTAGAGATCTGCAAAGGATGGCATATGTGAGTTAGCAGAACAGGACATTGTAAGAACACAATCAGGCTACTAACTCCTATGGAAATTACATCATGAACTAAAACACAAAAAATCATCTGTAACTTCTGTTATCCATTTCACGTAATGCTTCCTTTTATTTTAAATGTATGTTGAAGATAAACTAATTCAAATCACAATCCAGTTCAGTCCTGGCACAGTCAAGGCACACATTGTATTGAAGGAGAAATAGAAACATTGTTTCTGATTCTTCACCTCCAGACATTCAATAACAGAAATCAGCAGAGTTTACAACAATGTCTGACAGGGAGTCAAGATGGAGGCAGTCAGTTCCAGGATAGAAGTATATACAGAGGCATGGATTTCTTCATTTATTAATTTTATTTTTCACTTGCAAACACATTTGTGATAGACATAGGAGATAATTAAACATAATATTAAGAATCCTGGGACGTGTCCCTTTTACAACAACGTAAGAGAACTGAATATCAAGAACAGTAGCTTTGGGACTGAATTCCGCAGGAGACTAGAGGATTTATTTACTGAATTGTGAATTCTAATAGGTCCACAAAAAATAGCAGAGCTGTTATAAAATCTGGAACTTTGGTGATATTGCCCAACTTGACTACTTTGCAAGTTCATTGGATGCTTGCTGTTCAGTTAATACAGTCAAGCTGTGATTAATTTATAAATGGATAAAAAGAACAAAATCACTTAAATTCAAGTAATTTTAAAATAAGTAAGTGTCTCCAAAGTGTCTCCAAACTTGCCAGTAAAATTGATGTTGGTGAAATTGTTTTATAATCTGCAGATATTCCCATTAATACTAGAACCAGACATGTGTTTATTTTTTGGGTGCAAGAATAGGACAAGCTCCCTTACCTTCAGCTTTTCCTCCTCGCTGAAGACCAGTTTGGATGAGAGATCTGTCTTGGAGCCAGCGAGTTTTCCCATCTTCTCCTGCAATTCGTTGAGCTTTGCGTAGAGTCTCTCATTACGGTCCAGTAACTGCACCTAGAATGGGAGAGGTATTACAGATGTTCTTACCAGCCTGAAAATGGCCCTAGAAGGAACAAAGCTACTAGTGATGCACTAGATAACCTTTACTTGCCCTTAGGAATGGTACCAGAGATGTACTACACCAGCCTAAAATTGTATCAGGTCCTTCAAGCGCATATAATGAGCCCACTCACCCCTGCCAGAATGGGGGTGATAGTATGACTATTGTGGGCTCACAGTCACCTGTATCCCAGTAAAGCTGCTATCAGATGCAGTATCTTACCCTGGTATATTGTGCTTAACTCGACCAGTCCCTAATTGTTGAAATCCCTGGACCCTTCCTGTGCCAGTGCAGATAGAATTTTTTAACCATATCTTTAGTGTCTAGGCCTGCTAGCCTGCATATTTGTTTTAACGCCTACTTGGCCTGAGTGAAAATCAGCCTTGTATAGACCTTGGTCACACAAACTCTGCGCACCATGATAAACAAAGTCACATACTACACACATATAAGGCCACGCTCACAGAAGAGCACAACAGGTCACAATCATGCTAAACCTTAAAAACTACTTCTTACAACAAAATAACAGCTCCCAATTCTGCTGAAGAAGATAGAACAAGGGGTTATTGAGAACCTGTACTGGTAAAATCACATTTTGTTTTGGGAATTTTCAGATTATAAACCAAATATAACAAATGTGCTCTCTTGTGCTAAACAGGGGTCAGCAACCTATGGCTCACAAGATCGCTAGGCAGGTCAAGCAAGCTGGGGAGATGTGAAGATCTCAGGTCATTTCCTCCCAGCGCTTGAGAACGGACATTTGCTCCGGATGAAAGTAGCCCGCAGCGGCCACCACAGACTCTGTCCCTGACCTGTATCTGGCCAGTCAGCCCCCACTGAATCGCTGGCAAGTCACCCACACAGACAGACATACACACACACAGCTGTAAAGTAGCTTCTCCACAGGCAAATACTACAAACATAGTAAAAACAAAGAGAACGTTACCTGCGCTCTGGCCTAAATCCCTATGTACATTTAAACAAAATGGAGGCTCTCTAGTTTTATTCCAATGCCCAGTTAAATATAAGCTCACCTGCCACGTCAAGGCAAGCCTCAATAGGTGAGTCCTACACTAGCCATTAGATATGCTGATATCAGCCAAGAATGTCCAGTGAGACGGGAAGGGGTATTTTATAAACCCTTTCACATTTGACCCTTTATAGGGCTTCTACACATCCAATAAACTTTGCTGGTATCAGATAAAGTGTAAACATCTCTAAGGAGACATGAAGGGGTGTTTTATAAACCCCTCCATACTTATTAACCCTGAATAGGACTATAACACATACAAATCACCTTGCTGGTATCAGCCAAAAGGCAAATTTCTCTGTTGAGACAGGAAGTGGTGCTCTTTGTTTTTACTATGTACTTTAAGCTGTTGGATACTAAGCTACTGCAAGCGCGGTGCTTAATCTTTGTGTTTGTATACTGTATGATATTTGTATCACACAGCTATGTTACATTGCTGCCAGCCACCCCATGTTTGTCTTATTAAGAGTTTATAAGTATGTAAGGGCAGCACCCCTTCCTGTCTCAACAGAGAAATGTGCCTTCTAGCTGATACCACCAAGGTGATTTGTATGTGTTATAGCCCTATTTAGGGTTAATAAGTATGTAGGGGTTTATAAAATACCCCTTCATGTCTCATTAGAGATGTTTACACTTTGTCTGATACCAGCAAAATTTATTGTATGTGTAGAAGCCCTATAAAGGGTTAAATGTAAAAGGGTTTATAAAATACCTCTTCCTGTTTTATGGGAGATTCTTGGCTGATAACAGCAAATCTAATGGCTAGTGTAGGAATTACCTATTGGGGCTTGCCTTGACGTGGCAGGTGAGCTTATATTCAAATGACTATTGGAAAAAAACTAAAGAGTGGGGATCGACAGATTATTAGTCTTTCGTTGATATTATCGGCCGATATTCTGAATTTTCAGCAATATCGGTATCGGCCCCTAAAGATAACGATATTGCGGATAATGCAGACCAGGGTCGCCATCAGGGCATGACAACTAAGACGGTTGTCATGAGCCCGTCCGTCCGTCCTGGGGGGCCCGCGGCACACTCTTATTTCCCTTCCCAGCAGCTCCCCTGTCTAAATCTCGTGAGTCCCGCGGCCGTCAGTGAGTTGCCACGGGTTACCATGGCAACACTCCGTGCCGCACACAGGCCGCGAGAGTTAGACAAGGAGCTGCTGGGAAGGGACGTAAGAGTGTTGCTGGGCCCCCTCTGCAGAGTCCATGACCCCGGAACACCAGGAAATGCCGTATCACCCCTTTTTTAATTTAAAAAAAGTAAAATGCCCCCCCCAAGCATTTTACACACATTACATACCTACACAAACACTCATGCATTTACTATACACACACACACTTTGCATTCATGATATACACATTACACAAACACACACTGCATTTGTTATATACACACACACTACACAAACACACTGTATTCGTTATATACACACTACACAAACACACTGCATTCATGATATACACACACACACACTGTCTGCAATCATTATATACACACACTACACAAACACACTGCATTCATTATATACACTACACAAACACACTGCATTCATTATATACACACTACACAAACACACACTGCATTCATTATATACACAATGCATTCACTTTACACACACTACACAAACACACACACACATTGCATTCATTATATACACACTACACAATCACACACTGCATTCACTATACACACACACTGCATCCACTACACAAACACACACACTGCATCCACTACACAAACACACACACACTGCATTCACTAATCAAATGCTCTCACTGCATCGACTACACACACATATATTCTTGAAAACATAAAAAAATTCTGACTGGCATATATATTTTGTGCATTTACCTTAATAAAAAAAGATTTGCAAAAAAATAAACAAACATGTTCAGTTAACAGTAGATTTGTGTATAAAATGTTTATTTTTTCAAAACGGTAAATGTACAGAATATCAGTATCGGTACGTTATTGGCTATCGGCCTTAAAGTTTACAGATTATCGCTACTAAAAAAATCAGTATCGGTCGATCCCTACTAAACAGCCTCCATTTTGTTTAAATGCCAGAGCGCAGGTAACGTTCTCTTTGTTTTTACTATGTATTTTGAGCTGTTAGATACTAAGCTACTGCTGCAGTAAGCGCGGTGCTTTATCTTTGTGTAAAAATACTACAAACAGTCCACACACAAGCACACACAAAGCCCCCTCAAACACAATGCCACTGACAACCCACATACAAACACACAACTCCACAAGCAACAGTTTAAACGCACTACAGAAGCAGCCGCAACACATACACATACACATTGCACACAATCCCACATACAACCCCCCCCCCAAACACAGGCCCTATTTACACACATAACATGATACACAGCCCGCTTTCATAAATACACACAATAACACAAAATGATCATGCACATACACAATATAACACAGGAAACGTACGTACAAATAAAACCCTTCAAGCAACTGCAGTGCTCATACATAACACACACAGTAAACAGCAACATAAACAAACATTAATTTAGAAAAAAAATAAAAATTTAACCAGCACGTCAAGGAACGTCAAAGTCTTGTTCTGGCGCAGTGCTGGTAAATGGCTGCCTACACCTGTTCTATAGCATCATTTCTCAAACTTTTCCTAATCAGTTACCTCTTATAATATATATTTCAAGCCAAGTATCCATCATATTCCCATTTCACCTTTGCAAGTACCCAAATAGCTATATTATATATCACATGTTCTAAACTGATTAAAAAGTACCCCCTGGGCCAATTATAATGTACCCCATACAGCACAGTATTGTTACTAGTTTATATGTAATGTGGGTTATTTGTACCCTACCAGTTTCTCTAATTTACAGTTTTCATTAACCATTTCCAGATATTATTATTATTATTGGCATTTATATAGCGCCAACAGATTCCGTAGCGCTTTACAATATTATGATAGGGGGGATTTAACTATAAATAGGACAATTACAAGAAAACTTACAGGAACGATAGGTTGAAGAGGACCCTGCTCAAAAGAGCTTACAGTCTATAGGGATCTCCTGGGATTGAATATTGTGACACATTCTACTGTGATATTAAATACTTTGTAAATGAAATAATAAACTCACATTTTCATTTGTCAGTCGTCTGACTTTCTCCTTTAGAGGGGTCTCACTGCCCTCTGAGAGATCCATGAGGTTCTAATAGAATGGGTGTCAATGTTTGGCAATAGAACTCTATGTATCACATAGGGAGGGCTAGCAGTTTGTTTACTGCTGGGAGAGAAGTTGCTATGGCTTCCTAACTTGTGTAAATGGGCATGTGTGTGGGAAGGGCCACCTGGCTACCTTGGGAGTGGCCATATCTGCCAGGCTCTACAGTAAAGGTGGTTATTTAAAGTGACAGCAACACAAAGATACAGTCTCTGGGTTTTACATTATTTAGATTACGTTCAGCCCATAATATACATTTATTGACACATCTTTTCACTTATTTATTTAATGTTTTGAAAAGAAGAATACACATGTATTTATTTTTATTTTTTTTAGTGTGTGCTGTGTTACCTGAATTATTATACAGTTAAGTGTATAAAAATAAGAATATAAAACTACCTCATGATTTATTTTGGAGCTTGCAAAGTGTGGTTTGTTTAAAAAAAAAGCATTCATTGTAAACATTTTATTATTGGATAGGATTGTAAGATGCTGTCAATAAATAAATGTAAATCGGTATTAATATATAATTAATACGTCTGGGAAAATTAATTAGAATGTTTCTCTATTTGTAGCTAGGAATTCACAATGCTGCATTTAGGAGTAGTTTGGATTTTTGGGTGATACTGTTTGGCTAGATAATTTGCATAATAGAATCTATTCCAGTGACATTTTTATTTTATTTTCAATTAAAAGTGGTAGAGTTCTAAATACATTTTAAGAGCAAATGTTAGCAGTGGCGATTAGACAATAGCTATTAAATTGTGCACGAACTGCCGAGCGGTCGCACATCATGGGAGCTCCAAGCTAAAAATGAGCATATTTAGCCGAAATTCCAGCTAAAGCCCTACACCTTGCCAAATTACAAACCCGAAGACAGGGGGCTAACGCTGCGGCTACAAGCAGCAGGTCTCGCAACCGAAATCGGCGGCTCCTACCTCGGGATAGATCTGAGGCCTGCGGGGGCCTGCTCGGAAGGCGCAGGGGAGGCGGCCGATCCCTTCGTCGACTGTGGCGCGCCTGTCTGGAGACATCTAAAAAAACTCTTTCCCCCCCCTGCCGGTGAGGCTCATCCCGGCAACCACAGCCTGAACAAAGAATCAGCAGAGCTTTACCTACACCGCTGGACCAGCACTCACAAATATAGCGGAAGCCACATGCGGCCGTGCATCCAGCTCCCCATTACCCCCTCTCGCAGGACGGCTTGATCGCCTGTTTGTTGCCTTCTGGGCCAAGCTATCCCTCCACAGAGGCACCATAGAGAAGACCCCACAGGACACCATCCCGCGTGCTACCACACAGGGGCCTATAGACCCCGGACGAAGCATTGGTGCTGCACAGATGGTGGAGAGGAGAAGGCGAAGGACTCGACGACAGCCCCAGAGCCGCAGTACCGGAGCGGTGGGAAGCCACCTCATCTCAGAGCAGAGGGTTACATGGGGCAGACCCCCCCCCAAAACCTCTCTCCCTCCTCCCCCCCGGGAGATCACTGCACAGCGTGTGAAGAGACACCTTACCCGAATTCAAGCAGCACGCTGTCATAAGATCCGAGTACAAGTCCTAGGCACACACACCACTGAGACCTGTGAACCCAGAACACCGGACTATGTTGGGACCGAGGGCTGGGGGGGCACAGCCAATAACGAATTGAACCCTCAATCGTACCTGGACAGTATCCAGCACCCTATGGGCATCGACTGAACCTTCATGGGCATCCCACAGGCTTAACAGCCATACCTCTCCTGTCAACAATTGCTTGGCTTCTGGACTACCCCTACATTGCCTCGCATTATGCAAATTAACACCAACTGGCATTACTCTGTGCCCACTTACATTTGCTTTACAATATTGATATGACATTATAATTTTGCTACACCTTTTTGCATAAAACGAAAGTCTAGCTGTGAAACCGACAGTTCATGCACTCGCATCAACTATGCCGCTGGCAGGAACTGGACGATCCTGGGACTGCACCTATATTCCGAGCCTTGCTCAGAGAGCGGCAGCAGCTGCATACCCAAATGACTCTGCATTGCTTTCTATGTTCTCAGCTAACGGTTTTAAATTATGTTTATTGTGCCCCTATAAATGACACGTCTAGACAAGCACTATTCCCAGTGGGGAGTACCCTTGCATTAGCGCTAGTGCGCCCCAGGGTCCAGTGGCCTTAAGCATTAACTGACTGAATGCTATGGTGGCTGTGGTGCATATAATTTACCAGAGTTTGATCCATAGACAACCCTTATACAAAAAATGTGCACCTGTCTACTGTATAGATACGCAGTCTCTCTTAACATATTACTATACACATGGTCTACTCAAATGTATCTATTGTTTCGCATGTTTCATTTACCATGCCTGTCTCATGAAAATCTAGCTTGACGTACTACGACTTTAGCGGGTTAACTCGTACATAGGCAATCAACTACTTACCCAGTCTATCAGCATGTCGAATCGTACCAGCCTATTTAACACTAAACATGTTTTCATGATTATAAAAAAAAAACGTGCAATGTTTTTCGATGCCATACTAATGTTATTGTATGTCTACATATTTGCTTGCACCGGCTGCTGTGGCACTGCAAATCTGATTGTTCACTTTATGCACAAATAAAATAAAGAATTTAAAAAAATGTAAAATAAATTGTGCATGAACATGAATATATTAAATTACCCATATACACAATATAAATACAATAAGGAGAAAGAAAGATATGGAATGCATGTTATAAACTTTGAATGTAGTTGTACAACTAATATAAACAACAAAACAAAACAAATAATGATACATTGGGGTTGATTTATCAAAGTGTGAAGTTCCAAAAAAATAGTGCAAAGTTCTAATCACCATGGAAACGAAAGGAAACAGCAAACACATTCAACTGGTGATAACTCCACCTTTACCACCTTTCAGAACCTATTGCTAAATCTCCATTTTATCTACGTGGTAAAGAACAGTACACAAATATCAAACCCAACGCTTATAGCTATATGCAGGTCTCTTTATATGAGGGGACTGTGAGCAGTATTGTCTAGATTATATTAGTGGCTAATTGTGACACCCCTCCCTATAGGGCTGACACACACACACACACTCACACACTGTCTTATCCTTGTTAGTAAGCACTAGAATCTGTATTTCCCCCCCCCAAAAAAATCTCTATTTATCTGTGTCCAAAAATTACTGCACACCTGGCTCCAAAATATGAACAAAATAGCTAAAATGGTAAATATTGCTCCCAGACACTGGCCTGTGCAGCAGATGTGCAGTGTGTGGGACCTCTCTTATTAAAAAAAATAATAAAGTGGGGTACATAATGTTTTATTAATAAAAAAAAATTGGGGGTCTCACATAACTCCATTCTGCATTCATTCTGAATGTGGAATCATAAAGCTGTCCTCCACAGATTTTGATGGGATATTTTTAAACAAATGTGTTTAAATGTATCCCATAAAAAAATATATATATATTATATTTGTGTTGAGTATCTGTGATCACACTCCCTTAATGATGAACAGTATCTATCTTGCTACTGTTCCTTTAAAGAAAGAGCACGTGGTCTCCAGGACACTTTGTATTTCCGGTGTCATACCGGAACAAGGAAGCGGCTTGCGTTCCAAGCTGGTAGGCGTGCGTTTCAGGAGGTACATAGCCTGGTTGTCCTGGCAACAACCCACGTTTTCTGTTTCTTGGTGTCCGTTGCCTAGAAACCCAGGGATGCACTGAATAACAGACTGCTGGCATCACTTACAGCAGGGCTTCCTGGTAAAACACTGCAGAGCATCCTGGGAAATATAGTCCTAAATCATAGGTTCTGACAAAGGTTTCTTCCTACTAGAAGACTCTCTAGGGTTAATTTATCCATATAATAATAATAATAATAATAATAATAATAATAATACATGAATATTGGAGATAATTCAATGTGAGATGGAACCCAGGGTTTATTCACTAAACACTGAATTATACTGACAATTAAATTACAAATTATCTGGTTAAAATACCCAAGGTGTGACTATAGGGGGAGTTGGAGAATCTTTCTGAACCAGCTATTTTAGTCTACATTTAAATTTCAAATTTAAAGAGACGCTATTGCCATGACATGAAGTTGTTATGGTGCCTACAGTGTACCAATAAGTACCAATATATTTTTCAATCTATTTTGATAGCTTGTGAGTTGAAGTAAAGTGTATATTGATGCTCCATATAGCTACCAAATGCACAGATTATTTCAGGGCAGTAATAACAGCAGGGCATGTTTCCTCTGTCCAAAATCATGATTTGATTTCCTCAATTATTGTGAATTATTGCAGCTACATTTGTTGTAGAGGAATGGATGATAGAGAGCATGTGTGGTGCGCTCTCTGTTGGGCCATCCATGCTGTTATTATGTCATACAATGTCTTCTACACTCCAAACTGTTTTTACTGGTTATTTTATTCCAAATAGTTTATGGATCACACACGTCTATCCAAAAACTATGGTTCTATGGACACCATGCTCCTGTGTATTAGTCACCATTAATCATTAACTGTGAAATGCTATAAAATTATACGCCAAAATAGCAAACTAGAAGACTAGATCAATAGTAGAATATTTATTGCTAATTTGTTTCAAAATTTGAAATTCACTGGTCGATTTCCTACAATTTGAATCTACTGGTCAATTCATTGCAATTTTCAGTTTAGTGAATGATCAACCAGATGCCTCTGCTCCACCAGTATTTGTGTCAATGTCACTGATCCCTCAGTAGTGATAGTTTGGCCGAGAAATAGAGAATTGACAGACAAAATCCCAATCACCTACTCCACTGGAGGATTGAGTGGGAAGGACTACAGCCTGAATGGAATAGTAGCTAACCAAAAATAAGTAAACCAAACCTTTTTTAAGAACAATAAGTTTGAGCTAAAGTATCTGCCAAAGCACCCTTGTATAGGATAAATAAAGTGTCTAGGAGCCAGGTATAGGTAAATGACCATATATGGACAGACATCCCTCTGGGAAAATCCCTATTTATTATTTTATTATTTATAAAGCGCCATCAGATTCCGTAGTGCTGTATAATGGGTTGACAAACAGACATG